CCTTTTTCTCATCATTGTCCTGTGCCCACTCTCCCTTCTGCTAGTGAACCCTTCCATCTGCTCAGCCAGCCAGCTAAACAACTGTACAGAAGTCTTGCTAGATTTGGCTACCCTTCTCCTGCACACCCCTGATCAGATTCACCATTACTATGGGACCACTGCACTTGCCCTGCCCTGGTTTCCATTTCCACCCTTGTCCCCTATAGTGGACGAACAGAGAGCAGCTGCTGGGGATCTGTGAAAAGTGAAGCCAGAGTCTGGTCTGCACTGCTCATGTCTGTCTCACAGCCCCATGTACCCAGAGGAATCTGGCTCACTCCTACTCTGAACCTCGTTCTCTCCACTCCCTTAGCATCCTTGGGCCTCTGGCCTGCTGTGGCTCTGGCTCAGGAGCTTCCTCCTGAACGGCAGAGCTCGCTGCCCGCAGGCCTCTGCTCAGCACTCTTGGCCTCACAGGCCTTATTTCCGACTCTCCCACCTTGCGAGGTGTGGGGAGGGAGGCTGAAGCTGATTAAGCGCACAGGCTCAAGTGAGGCCTCGATTCAGTCTCAGCTCCTCTGCTTCACAGCTGTGGGGTCCTGGGCGACTCATTTCACTCCTGGGCCTCACTTTCCCGAGGTGTGGGGAGGGAGGCTGAAGCTGATTAAGCGCACAGGCTCAAGTGAGGCCTCGATTCAATCTCAGCTCCTCTGCTTCACAGCTGTGGGGTCCTGGGCGACTCATTTCACTCCTGGGCCTCACTTTCCCCATCTGTGGAATGGGGGCCACAAAAACATAACCCCACCCCCCAGCCCATTGTGAGCGTCACAGAGATCCAAGTGCAGAGCAAGCTCTAACTGTGCATATGACTTCTCTTAGGGCCGAAGATGATATCTCATCAAATCCTTCACTAAGAGGGGTTTGCTACTGTTGTGCCCGTGTGACAGAGGAAGAAACTGAGGTTCAGAGGGGGTGGAGCCCCTGGCCTGAGGTCAGAGAGGCAGCCAGAGGTGCAGCTGCCTGGGCCCTGTGTCCAAGCTGTTGGTGGCAGTGACCCAAGGGCTCAGCACTGACCCAGGCACAGTAGGCCCTGTTTTTATTAGCATCTGAGGGAAGGAAGAGACACCTGTAAGAACTAAGGGATGGGGTGGCTGGTGCCATAGAGAAGAGCAAGACCCTAGAGTCCAACTTGCTGTGTGCCCCTGGGGAAGCACCTCCCCTCTCTAGGCCTGAGTAAGATGAGGATAATGCTAGCAACTACCTCTCAGGGCTGCTGAGGACTCATCGAGCTGTGCTCCTCCCAGCTCTGTCTGTCCCCAGTTCCCGGAATCACTGAGTGAAGGAAAGGATGCACATAATATGCTCAGGGCGCGACAAAGAGGGACCTGCCACTAGCACCGCTCACTCCATCCTTCAGTATTTTCTGAGCACCTACTCTGTTCTTGGCACTGTTCTAGGCACTGGGCATACAATGCTAAGACAGTGAGTCCTTGCCCTCTAAGAACTGACATTCTAGTGTGGGAGACTGGCAATAACAAGCAAGAAAACTTCAGACTGAAGTGCTACAAAGACTAGGGAACAGGGTAAAGTGATACAGTGCAAAGATGGGCATCACTAGTCAAAGAAGGCCTTTCTGAGGGTGATATATGCGTTAGAACTCACTCAGCTACATCAGGACCAAAGGGAAAAGTCTCCAGGAGCAGGGACAGCATGTGAAAAGGTCCTGGAGTAGAAGGAACTCAGTGGTTCCAGGAGCTGTCAGAACAGCTCACGTGTTTCAACTGTGTTGAGTACGTGAGAAGACAGTGTGATGCCGTCTGGTGAGTGGGGGATAGGAAATGTTTCTTTCTGGCCTTTGATGCCCCTCCTTCCCCATGGGGCCCCTATGAATCAGCCTCACCTAGAAAGCCTCTCTTCACCTGCCTAACCTCCCCAGCATCCCTCATCTCCTGGATTCTGTGCCCCTTCCCTCTCTCCTCGCCCCCGCTCCAGCTAGCTACTCCCCTGCCTGCAATTTTCTTCTTCCTATCTCCCAGCTGAAGTAGCCCTTTCTCTTCCTTTGGAAGCTCAAAGGTGCTAGCTCCTCTGAGAAGTCTCCTTCACCTCCTGCGGGCAGAAGTGATGACGCTGCCTGAGCACACCCAGGAGATCCTAAGCCAAGCCTGTTCCCCTCCTTCACGTACCCACTCATGCAGGACTCACTGTCCAGCACCTGCTCTCCATGCCAGAATGAAGGGCAGCACAAAGTCACAAACCCAGTAACTGGTGACTCCATCCTTCCAGTTGTTCAAACCAACTCCTCTCTCTCATCTCTCACATACAGGTTATCAGCAAATCCCATTGGCTCTGCCTTCCAAGTACATCCAGCATCCAGCCGCTTCTCACCCTCCACTGCCCTCACCGCAGAATCCCTTGTAGTCTGTTCTCCACATGGCAACACGAGGGGTCCTATTACAAGCTAAATCACATCCTGTCCCTCACCTGCTCTAAACCCTCTGGCTGACCCTGACTCACTCAGAGTAAAGGGCAAAGTTCTACAAGGCCTTCTGTGGTGTGGCTATGGTCCTCCCTGATGTTGTTAAAGGGTCCTGCCTCAGGGCCTTTGCATGTCCTGTTCTCTCAGGCTGAAAAGCTCTTTCCCCATGCATCTTCCTGCCTCCTTCCCTCATTTCCTCTTCTTTGTTCACATGTCTCCTATGGAATGAGGTCTTCTCTGAAGACTCCACCCACCCCTCCCCAGGCCCTAATCCTTCCCTACAGACCCTGCCATCTGACATCTTTATGTGCTGCTTTACTTGTGTCTGCCCCTGCTGGAATGGAGACTCCCAGAGGGTAGACTAATTCTCCTTTATTCACCACCTTATCTTCAGGGCCTAGAATATACATAGTATATGCTCATTAAATATTCATTATGTAAACACAGGGAAATCAAAGATAGACACCCAGACACGAAAACAAAAACAAACAAACAAACAAAAAACCCAAAAGGGAACTGAAAGAGAGATATTAGAAGGACAGACAGAAGTCAGATGGTCCCCACACCCACACAACCTAAACAGGAATTGTCGTCAACCCCCATCTCAGGCTTCTTGTACCTGTCCCCAACTGCATGTGGACCCTGCCCACCCTGCGATCTGCTCTGTGCTTCAAAACAACCCCAGAGCCCCATGAGTGATAAGAGCAAGAGCAGCTCATATTTACTTGGTATCCATTACACCCCAGACATCAACCCAAGCTTTTCCCATGTATGAACTCATATAACCTACTCAACAACCCTGGAAGGTAGCCCAACTTTACAGATGAGGAAATGGAGGCCTGCAGACATGATGGAACCCGCCTAAAATCACAGTTAAGACAGCAGTGAGGCTGGGTTCTGAACCTGTGTTCTCACCCACTATTCTACATTGCCTGACATTTCAAAATTACTCCTGCCCCTGACCAATTCTCAGTTGGTAGAAAAGGAGGTCTAGAGAAGGGAATGGATTTGCTGGTAAAGTTGGAAATGAGGTTTTGTGACCACCCTCCAAGGCCTCCACCTCTTACCTGAACCCACCAGGACGTCTGGGTTCCCCAGGGTGACAGCTGCTGTGAAGTCGGAACCTCGGTACTCCCCATCCACCTGCCAGTTCACAAACTTCGACTGCTGGGTCTGCAAGGGAGAGGGGGAGTGTGAGGGCAGCCTGGTGCTCATCATGGTGGCCAGGAAAGCAGCAGACTCCATTCCCCACTTACCTGAATGGCCATCTTGGACCTGAGGCCAGGGCCCAGCTGGTGAATGACCTGAGCATTGAGGCTGCCACTGTTGTCCATGTCACCCACCAGCACGGGGAATGCCTGCAGGGCAGAGGGCAAGGTTAGAGGTTACAGGTCCAGTAGTATGGAAGTACATGAGCAGTGAGCCTAGGTGAGAAGCCTAGGGACAGAATGCCTCCTCCATGAAGCCTTCCCTGACCACCTAGACTGAGTTAGGCTCCACCTCTGGGCTGCCACAGTCTTTGGGTTCCCCTGTTTCAGCCCTGCCCACCCTGGATTGTTATTCTTTGGGAACAGGTCTGTCCCCTGACCCACTGGACAGTGAGTCTCATGGCTGTTTCAGACACTACTGGGTCTCCAACACAGAGCTGAGCACAGAACGGGGGTACAATGAAGATATGCTGAATAAATGAATATATTGAAGGGAAACAGTCAATGTAAGCAGAGACCTAATTCAGTACTGCCCCCCCCCGACCCTCTGTCTAGGCTTCCAGTTTGCCACCCCTGCTTCCCAATATCTAGCATCCACATGGCAGCCTGAGGGATATTTCTAAAGCATAAATCTGATAACCATGTCCTTCCCTTGCTTAAATCATTTGCATGGCTCTTCAGTGCCCCCTAGAGAAAGTCCAAATGCCGAGTTTGGCTTTCAACATTCTGCATAATTTACAGCCCAGCCCTGCCTACTCTGGGTCATCACTGTCCAGTGACGAGGCTGTTGTGGTAACCCTAGTATCTCCAGCATCAGGCAGCAAAGGGCCAGGCAGAGAGCAGGGATTCAGGGGATGATTGCTGGATGAAGGAATTACTCATATTCCAACGCACCTTGGAGAGAGACAGTCCCTACCTCCCAACACCCGCAGCCCTCTCAGCAGCTCTGACCTCCTCCTGACAGAGACTTTTAAGCTTGGTGTTTGGCTACATATTTGTTAGAAGGAAGATACAATGAATGACAAAAGTAACCTCACCTCTGTGGGACTCAGCTGCTTTGTCCCAACGTATGTGACCCCGAAATGGTAGTTGGACTCCCCAATTGTGCTGAGGGCGACTGTGTGGTTTACCTGGGAGAAGAGGGAGGGCTGTGGGGATACTTGCCAGTCTGGCTTCCCCAGTGGAGAGGGCAAGGGATGGGCAGGGGATAAAGACTGGGAGGCATGGCTTGACTAGGTTAGAGACTCACAGAAAAGATGTGCTACATACCTGGTCCCTCACTCTTGCCCTGATGTTATGGGGGTGAGAGGGATTCTGGGTCCCCAAACCCTACCACCGACCCCACTGATAGTCAGCCTGGCACTGTATCTCTGTGTCTTTTCAAGGGTCAAGGAGCCCAGCTCTTTAGGGAGGAGTAAGGAAGTTGCCTGTGCAGATGCAAGGGGACGGCTGGGACAGACCTCTGGAGGGTAAGGGCACCAGGAAAGCTCACCTGGAAATGGTTACTCAACCCTTTGTTGACTGTGAGTTTGACACCCTCCATCTGAATGGGAAACAGCTCTGGAAAAGAGAAATGCTGTCACGCTCCAGCCTAGACACAGACATACGCGCACACACACACACTCATCCTCCTTCCTTACTATCCTCCACTCTACTGAGACCCACAGCATAACATCTCAAAAGGTATCCCAACCAGTAAAGAAGCAGTATAGCCTGCTGGATAGGGCCAGGGCCTTGCCTGCATCCAAATCTCAGTGCCACCACCTACTACCTGTGTGCTTTTAGGCAAACCACTTTATGTCATCACTGGTAATATGGGGGACCCTCACCATGCAGAACTGTTCCAAGAATTTACATACTGAATACCAGACAGAGTTCGATAAGTCTCCACTACCACTACTATCACAATTACTCCAAGTCGGGATCCAGAAGCCCTGGGTTCACCCCAGACTGGAACCTTGCTGACACCGTGACCTTGGGTCTCAGTTCCCTTCACAATCACAAGAGGATTCTGGCTTGGCTGATCCCGGGGCTCCAGAGGTCCCTAAGGTTTTTCTCTACTGCAATGGCATTCCATCCCGAGGTTACACTATTTGATTCCATCATTCTAAGCCCCAAGTCCAACGTTCCACCATTCGATCCCAACGTCACCTCCTAACGCTCTGTTAAATGATTCCAATGGTGCGCGCCAATTCCCAAGGTCCCCCATGTCCTCCCTCTTCCCCTGAGATCCGGGCCACCGCACCCCTGCCGGGGCCTCTCGCCCCTCACCCTTGCACTTCCGGTGGCACTCCTCGAACGTGCCCGGGTTGGGCAGGCAGCCGCAGGCCCCATCGTCAGTCACGGCGCCGGCGGTGGCAGCCCCGGGAGTCCTTTCCGAACCTCTACCTGCGCTGGCTCCGGCGCCTAAGCCTCCTCCGAGCGGTGGCAGTGTAACATGGAAGCCAGTTTCCTGGAGAGCTAATGATCCAACAGAGTGTAAGATAGAGTAGCCAACAAGGAAGCCACAGTCTTTTTATAGCCCACTCTCAAATGAAGCATACCATCACATCTCACCTTTTATTCATTAGAACCAAGTTAATCAGTCCAATATGTATTCAAGAAAAGGATATTGTGTATGCATATAAATACAAAGAAATGTGGTCATTTTATAGATTGCCTACTGCAATCTGTCCTCTCACCTGCAAAATGATTCATGTTCGATCTGGAAGCAACATACAGTTACCTCCTAAATCCTGCAAAGTCTCATATCATTATAGTATAAGCTCAAAATTAAGAATTTCATTTTCTAAAACAGATCTAGGTGTTGAAGAGGCTCTTGGGCTATAGTTTCTTAAATGCTGCTCCTCATGTGAGGTTTCACTTTAACTGTAGGTCTGATAAAATAAAAATAAAATTATTTAATCCATAAATACTCAATCTTCAATACTTCCCCATGGTCGCCTGCGAGGGGAGAGGTCAGAGGGCGGAGGTCAGGGCCCGCGCGCCCCAGACTCAGCCCCAGCCAAACCTCACCCTGCCCCGGGACCTGGTTCTCACTGGCAGCGGCGCCTGTTCCCAGCCTGGGATCCGCTCCCACCCCGTGTGCCACGCGCAACCGAACCCGCTGCCGCCGCCGCCGCCACCATCGCTCCGCCCGCCTAGCCCATTGGCTCAGTGTGCCCTAGGGCCCGCCCACCAGCCTCAGGGCCCGGTCTTACCATTGGAGTCATGGCCGGGAGTTCCACCCACCTCTCTCAAACTTTCTTTTGTATTGGTTCCCACTCGTAGGCAGGGCACAGCGCACCTCCCTGTCCTTCCCGCGGGTTCCAGCGGTGGCCCGCCGTTGGTCTGTGCTGGACATTTTGCAACGCCCACTGGCACGTCGCCCCGCCCCTCCTTAAAGACCCGCTCTTTTGACTCCGCCCCGCGGCAAAGTTGCCGTGATAATAGGTTGGCTTTGACCCTTGCAGCATCCAGATTGGCCACGGCGTGTACGAGGCCGACCTTCGTGATGTATCAGCTTAGTGCTCTCATTGGCTAACATGCCAGGGTCGAAGGACACGGGTAAAGGTGGGTTGCGCGGCAGAGGCTGCTAGGCAGCAAGGTCAGGCCTCGCGTCCCACCAGACCCCGCGGCGGAGGGGCCCCACCTCTAGGCCGGAGTCGCCGACCGGAGGCCGGAAGTGCTCGCGCTCTTCCCACAGTGCCTCGGGAGGACCGTAGGTGAATTAGGTGAATCCTGCCCTGCTTCTTGTTACCCACAATGCCCCCATTACGTCTTAGCGCAACTTGCCTTAGACCCACCCCTTTCGTTACCCACAATTCTTTATTCTTGCGTCACTGCGGCTTCTATCTTTGGCCCATTCATTCCTGTCCCATTACCCATCATGCCTTCGTCCCATTCATTCCCGCTTTATTGCCTGAACTACCTTTAGCCCATTTCTGCCTGTTCACTTTCATCATTCCTCCGACCCTTTTCAAATTAACAATCATATTTTGGGTCCATTAACTCCTGTCCGTCACACATCATGCCAACGGCCCATCTCTCCATTATTCATCACTCCGCCACTGGCTCATTCATTCAGATACACAGTATCACCCATCGTGCCTTTAGCTCCTATTACAACATTATTTATGATTTTGCCTTCGGCCTATTCTTACTTGCCATTTATCCATTAAATCCGAGCCCCTCATATTTAGTTGCTGGTATTTTTATCTCTGTTCCGTTTATTTCTGTCCGTTACGCATTAGACTGCTGTCGCACCAATTCCTTTTCATTAACCTCTATGCCCTGGACTCCTCTTCCTCTCTTTCCATTATCCATCATTTTGTTTTTGATTGATGCATTTTTGCTCATTACCCTCTCACTTAATTTTTTTTTCCGGGGGGGGGGGTTATCTTGGCCTTCTGTTTTTGTCTGTAACCCATCTTGACTTCTAGTTCACTGATTTCCTTAAGCCCTGGACCCCTTTATCCATTGCCCATCATGTTCCATCCCATCCCCTCCACATCCCACAGAAAACGCAAGACCTGGTCAACGTATAAACTCATATTTTCTAGGAAATGCTAGCTTACAAAACAATATCACCCCCACCCCACCCCCAACCCAGGTGACCCACTTTCCCCTGAAGAGGGATGTTTAGGTCCCATCCCACTGGGCAGAGGTAAAAGGATTCAGTAGTCTTCAAATTAACAGCAAATTCTTCTCCCAAAGCTGAGGCTGTCAAGGCACAGTCTGCATGAGGCTCACCCCATCTAGCCCTGGGCTGGGGCTTCATGCTTTGTAGACAGGACTTGGGGTGGTGGGGGCTCAGGGAAAGGTTGTGGACCCTGAGACTCCTGCCTGCAGGAGGAGGAATATGGGGAAGCTCTGCCTTGGGCTGGGGAATCCCCTCGCTCCCACTTTTGGGGAAGCAGGTGGGGAGGGGGCAGGTGGAGCTCTGCTGCCTGGAGGGCTCAGGTCTGAGCAGCAAGGAGCCCCTAAAGCCCATCCCAACAGACCCACTGGGAGTTTACTGTCTGAGGACAAATCGGAGGTATGGGTCTTCTTTGGGATATGGGGGGAGTTGAGATGTCAGTGGGAAGGAGAGGTATAGTCTAAGGTCATAGTCTTAGAGAAGAGTCCTTGAAGTCAGAGTCTGTGCAGAAACATACCCTTCCCACCCCATACCTCATGAGATAAGGTTATCAGGTTTCCATTGTCATGGTGTGTTTCTCTGGGTTAGAGTTCATGGGTTAGAGGTGACAGTGGAGCCACCAAGGTAGAAGTCACATATGGGATGCACGTGTGTTAACTGACAGTGGCCTGGCCAGAGGTTAGGGGCCGCTAGATCCCTGACAGAAAGCTAAAGGATCAAAAGCTGAGAGGTGAGAGGCCAGGGTCATGGCAGCTCACACATACATGGCCCGGGACATGACAAAACCTTTGCCTTGGTAGGAATCAGGGGGGCTGGTGTAGGACAGGGCATCGTAGATGGGGTTGATCTTGTCCAGATAGCCTTCCTCCTCCTCCTCCTCCTCATCCTCCTCCTCCGCCTCCAGATCCAGGGAAACGCTGTCCACAGCAGGTGGTGCTGGAGGCATCAGGATGGGGGACGCTGGGCTTGTGGCCCCCAGGAGCGTGGGCCCTGACCGCTCTTCTAAGGTAGGCAGCTCATGGTATCGAGGCATTTCCTGAGAACAGGGAGGGGGTGGGAACTCTAGGTTACCTTGTAAGTATAACATAGAATCCCAGTCTGCCCCTTGACCCCAAAATCCTAACCACCAGTTTCCCATGCCAATCAGACCTGACCTCACCGCTTGTCATCCCTTGTCCCCTGAATCAGTATTATGTTGGGACAATCATTCAGGCCATCCCTAACCCAGAGCCCAGAGCATGTACCTCACCCTGTCAATCCTGGACCCCACCTTTGTCCCTTGATCTCTGACCCCAAGTCTTTCCCTATGAACCTCTGACCTCAATCTTGACCTCAACTACTTAACTTTGAGCCTCAAACAGTCCCTTGAACCTTGACTTGTTTCAACCTCAATATCTGAACCGTCACCTCCAGCAGACCACTGAGGGGAATGACTACAAGGGATCTTCAAAAAGTTCATGGAAGATTTGTATTTTTTTTTTTTTTTTTGGCAGCTAGCCAGTGTGGGGATCTGAATGTTTGGCCTTGGTGTTATAACACCACACTCTAACCCAACTGAACTAACCAGTCAGCCCTGTATTATCTTATAATTCTAATTTTCCACGAACTTTTTGAAGCACCCTCGTATTTATCTTATCCCAGCTCCACGCACAGTATCTGGCAAATGCAGATGCTCAACTACTACTCATTGACTCAGTGACTTTAAACTCTAACTTCATGTTCCTGCACTTTTTTACTCCTGATCTCCCCCACTGAATCCTGAACACATCTCAGTGCTTTAAGCTCAGACCAGAGACACAGCCATGACCTTGAGTTGTGACCTAGTCCTTGACCTCTTGTGTCAAGACCTGACCTCTGGCCCTTTAACCCAGATCCCGAACCCACCCTTGTCCTCCCCTGAGCTCCTACCTGCTCAGTGCACGAGACGCCAGCATCAAAGTAGGGGGTCTTAAGCGGGCTGTGCTCCGAGGCCCCCAGAGTGAAGAGCTGGGAGGGCTACAGTGGGAGGGAGGGGCAGGTCAGGAACCCCCCACAGTCAGCCTCGCCATGCCAGGCCCCCCTCCCAGCCCTGGCCTCAGTGGGGAAAGGTGGGTGTGGAGACAGGGATCGCTTGGGCTGCAGGGGAAATGCTCACCATCTCTGGCTCCTCCAGCTTTGCTTTAGGGGTTGGCGGCTGGTACGAGGGTGGTCCCTCCAGGCTGTAGGGTAGCAGTAGGTCAAGTAGAGCCTAAGACCCAAGAATTTCTCCTACCCCAGGGTTACTGCACACACTGTTCCCCCTGCCTGGATTCACCCTTCCGCTGCCCCTGCCCCCTTGCCTGCCTAACTCCTACCCATCCCATCCATGAAATCCTTTTTCCAGGAAGACTTCCTCATTCTCCAGCTGGATCAGGAACTCCTGTTACATGGTCACATCTAGCTGTACATATCTAGCTGCCCTTTCCTCTCCCTCAGGGTACTTAGTGTTATTTATGATATCATTCAATTACCATACCCTACTGCGAGATCTGTGAGGGAAGGAATGAGAACTGTACCATCAGCACGGTGTCCCCAGAACCCACTATGAGGAATTCAGTAAATGTTTGTTAAAAGAATGAATGAATACATGAAGTGCTTCTTGTCCCCTAAACTAGGTTAATTCTGTACACCCACAAACCAAAGCATCTTGTATCCATAGTAATGACAGGTACTTACTATGCCTTCAATGAACTCAGATGTCTCCTACTCCTTGACCCTCCAAGCTGGGTCAGGTGTCCCCTCTGGCCTCTCAGAGCTCCCTAAAGTGCCCATCCCACCCTGGGCCATGCTGGACCATTACTGTCTGGAGACAGGTGTGTCTCATCCTCCATACTATGGAACTTCAGTGGGGTGGGGAGGAGAGTTTATTTCCAGGAAGGCAAGGCTTGTTGAATCAATGAATGGATAGTTTTGTTTTTTTTTTCCCCCCACTGAGGTAACACATATAAAATGCATCTCACCAAGTCTGGCACATAACAAATGCTCTATACAGAGAGGTGTGGCTAGTTTCCCCTAATACCCAGTCTCCCTCTTTCTCATAGCAATAGAGATTTTAGCTGGGCACATGGCCACCCAATAAAGACTACATTTCCAAGCCTTCCCTATATTTGGGACAGTCATGTGATAAGGTTCTGGCCAATGGGGAGAGAGGAAGTGATCAGTGTAACTTCTCAGCTTTTCCTTTTCAGGGTAGCCAGCTACCCTCTATTTCCTCTTTCCCTTCCCACTGGCAGGAATGGGGACACAGGCCAGGATGGCTGTGTCTGGTTATCATGGACATAGACCTCGATAGAAGGATGGGGAGCCATCTTGGAATGTGAAATGAAGGCCACTCTAGGAAAGGTGGAGCAACAAGACAGCAGGAGCCTGGGCTTGGATGACTTCACAGAGCAGAGTTTCATACCTGTACTTTACAGGATAGAGAAATAAACTCTCCTCGCCACCCCATTGAAGTCCCAGTTATTTGGGGTCTATTTCACATACTTACTGTGGATGACTTTTTCCCACCCTCTCCCCTTACCCTGTGGTCCCCAGGTCTGCCACCCCTCCCTCATCCACTTCTCAGGGCCCCTCACTCACTCATCCTCCTCCTCTGCCCCCTGCAGCCTCTGCTCCTTCCGCTGCTGCCGGCAGATGAGGATTCCCGTAGAGGCCACAGCAATAGCAATGATGGCGGCAATGATGCCCCCAATGATGCCACCTGTGGCCCCTGCACCTGCTGTGTTGGGGGTCTCTGCAAGGAGAGGGACAGTGTGAGGGGGTCTCCAGGAGGAAGCTACGGCTCCTTATTCCTGGCTCCCCCCACCCCAAATCACAGCCCACCTGCCTACCTCCTCTCCCGTGGGCAGGGGACATTGTTTCGTTCCACTAATCCTCACTAAGCATGAGTAAGGGGCATCTGCTGTGAGCAGGGCCTGGGAGATAGAGTGCTGCACAAAGCCAAGTCTCCATCCTCACGGAACCTAGGGTCTGGGTGGGTAGGGAGGCCAACGGTAGATGCACACATACAATATCTGACATGCCAGGCTGGAATAAAGGATAGAGGGTAAAATACAGGGTGGGAAAGGTGACTGATGGAGTGGCACCCCCAAAGGCAGTCAGACAGGGCCTTCCTGGGAGGTGATGCTAGAACAAAGACCTGAAGGGTGTGCAGGGGTGAGCCGCGGGACTATCTGAGAGCACAGCAGGCTGACGGGACAGCTAGCACAAAGGCCCTGAGGAGGGAGCCTTGAGAGGTTTCTAAGGAACAGCAAGGAGATCATGTGGCTGGGGCCACATGGAGGGGGCAGTGAGGAGATGAGGTAAGGAGTGCAGTGAGAGGGCAGCTGAAAGGCAGAGGATGGACAGAGGTTCTGGGATCCCTCATTCATGACAGGGAAGAGTCTCCTCCAGCCTAACTGGAAAAGGGGTTGAGTGAAGCTCATGGCTCCTGGGCCTCTCCTAAGAGTAGTGATTGGAGCAAGTAGCTGTTTACTTGCCAGTTTCCCTTCTAGCCTGTGAGCCCCAAGGTCCGGTACCCAGTTGGTGTTTACTAGATGGGTTAGGAGGGCCCACCATGGGCATCCAAGGACATATCGTATGCCAGATGGACAAAATGCCCCATTGCCAGGGGGTGGGTGAGCAAGGTGGCGGGGTGGGGGGTGGGCAGTGACAGACAAACAACTAGAGGAAGTAGCAAGTGTGGAAAAGCCCCACAGGAGACCCTTACATCAACCCCACCATCCAGATGAGGAGAGGGAGCGTCTCAGAGGAGGGTGTCTGCATCCCTGGATTATCTGGTTTCCACAGCTTCGGTTTCACAGCCTGACATCTTCTGGAGGGCTCAGAGTATGGGGGAACGAGAGGGATCGCCGCTCAGTCCACACATACACGCCATCATCCTACAAACACTGCCGTTCCTGTCGTCATTAGTGACTGCGAGTCCCAGGAGTGCTGGGCTAGGTCTGTCCAGGCCACTGCTGTGTCTGCCCAGAGTACGTGAAAATTGATGCTGGTCGAAGCCCCTCCTGGCTGCTCAGCCATGAACTGAGGGCCATACAGGCATGTCCTTACTGGAACCCACGATAGCCTTGTGAGGCAGATCCGAGCCAGCCCCCATCTTCCAGGAGGCCATGGAGACTTGAGAGAGAAGTGACAGGGGCTTAAGGCCAGCCCCTTCCACTCCTCTCACCTCACCTGGGAGCTCAAGAACCCCCTCAATCCTTAATTTTCTTGTAGGGGGAGTGGGAGGGAGGCAGGGCTGCTGCCTCTCCCTCGGACTCACTGAAAATCCCTTGGGCTAAGCCCTGGAGCAAGGGCAGAGGAAGGAGGCCTGCAAAGGCTGCCGCATGGGTGTCAACAGGTGGGGTTTTCCTGGTATCCCCAGCACACCCACCTGTCCCCGTGCCCTTGGGGTACCCAAGAATGGGGGTGGGGGAGTAGCCCCCCAAGACCCTCCACAACCTGGACAGCCTCTGCCCTCCCATTCCCTCAGGACAGAGGAAACTGGTGCCCTAGCTCCTGCTGCACCCCGCCTGCACTGGAGGGTCCAGGAATCCAGGTCCCCAGCCTCACTCTCCCAGGGAACACAGGCCTCAGATCTGTCTGGCCACTCCACCCAGGAAGGCAGCCTCTGTCCTGGGATTCAGGAGTCCAAACACCCCAGCCTGTAAACCCAAAACCCAGCAATCCAATTGCTAGTCTCACTAGCCTCAGGGGTCTTGTGCATCCACTGTGTTCTTCAAGGACCCAAGTGGTCAGAGCCCCCCCAGCTGTCCCCTGTCTAGCTCCCACTAGGCTCCCGTCCGCCATGGGCCCAGCTCAGTTCTTCCCGACCCCTGGGACCTAGGAGTCCCTGTCTCTGTCACTCTTGCCCAAGGACTCAAGGAGGAGGTCTGTTGTGTATTACAAGACACCCCCAATGTTTTCCTCCAAGGCATTTATTAACTCCTGAGTGTCAAGGGGCCAAGGGCAGGCCAGAGCCAAAAACAAGTCTCTGGGGGACAGGGGTCCTCTCTGGATCCCCATTACTGAGCTCTCCGGGGCCTCCCCTTCCCCATGCAGCCCTGGAGACAAGTCTAGTGTGATTGCGCCTCCCCTCCAAACCGCAGGAAAGTGGGAGGCAGCATTCAAACTCCAGTGTCATCCAGACAAACAAGCCCGACCAGTCTGGAACCCTTGGCTGGCGTGGCAGGAGAGCAGGCCTGCCCTCCTGGCTCTGTCTCTGTCTGTCTGTGTCTCCGGGTCACACGTACACTGCCCGCCGTGAGATGAGGGAGCCATCCAGCTGGGACTCCATGTCATCCTCGAGTGCTGGGGCTGGAGGCAACATGAGGCCTTCCTCTGCCTTCTCCTCCTCCTCCTCCTCCTCCTCCTCGTCCGTGCCATCTGGCCTCATGGGACCAGGAGCTGTTGGCGTCCAGAAGACGGGGCCCCCATTCCCAAACACCTGAGTTTTCGGATCGTAGGATCCTCTGTCGCTGTCGCCACCGCCTCTGCCTCCTCCTCCTCCTCCTCCGGGGCTTTTCCTCCTCCTCCTCTCCCTCAGCAGGATGAAGGCCAAGGACCCCCCGGCCAGAAGCAGCAGCACCAGCAGTGTCCCCCCCACAGCCCCCCACACCAGTGGACCCACGTCTTGGGATGAGGCCCGGGGGGTGTCTGAGGAGAGAGAGAAGGAGGGGAGAGGGAGAGAGAGAGGGAGAGAGAGAGAGAGAGAGAGAGAGAGAAAGGGAGACACGAAGTCAAGACCATACATCTTAAGGGTGAGGGGGTCGGGGAGACACAGGACGCAGCAGGGTGGGGGTGACGGGGATTAGGGAAGTGAGTCTGACAGGGCAGAGAATGGAGGGGGAGGTGGGGAGGGAAGGGAGAACCCAGTGACCCTTCCCTACAGGCTGGGGACTTTGTGCATGGAGCGGGTGCCAACCGGCGGCCTCAAGATGTGTTTCCTTACACCTGTACAGTATTTTTCAAAAATTAAAATTGATAGCCAACATTTCCAAAATCGGGCAATTTCACCTAGAAATCCAGATTTCTCTTAGAAAAACACACCTCATCTGGTGACACCGAGTTCTCACCTCCACCTGGTGATGTGCTATTGCGTAATGAAAGCTGTCTCTGTGAACAGGACACGCTTCCACACCTTGCCACCTAGGTGGTCACTTGCTGGGACCCTGTAGGCACCTCAGTTTATAACCCCCTCTGAATGTGCTGTGGGGTCCTCACAAAAGCTCCAGGTTCAGGGTCCCAGGGCTGGATTTGGGGTGGATCAGAGCTGGATTTGAGCTTGAGACTGTCTGTTCCTAAAGCTCTTGGCACTTCGAGAAGGGCCTTGCGAAGGGCGAGGGCCTCCTGGTAATTCCTCCCTCTGGAGTGGCCAGGAGCACATGCTCTGGATGACATTGCCCACCTCCTCTCTGGGCCACATGTCCCCAGAATGCATCCTACTGTCCCAACTTTCTTAGTGCTCCCTGCGGTGGCTGAGCAGGTAAGAGGAGGACGGTGGGGGAAGGTAGGGGTAGGCAGAGAGGAAGCCAGGGAGCACTAAGGAGGGAAGCGGGAGATGAGGAAGAGGCTTCTGGGCCCCACGCCAGGGACTGGCATCATGCAACTGCAGCCTATCACACCACCACCCCCTCACCCCTGCACCTCTACACACAGGGCGGCCGGGACCCAGGCTCCTGTTTCTGGTTTTCTTTTAGAGTGATGTTTTCAAACAGGGTTTGACCCAGTAGGATGTCGAATCAGTTTAGTGACTTGCAAACAATATTAAAAAAAAAAAAAAAGTAGAACGGCAACTTTTTTGGGGGAAGGAATGTGCATGTCTATAACTATACACTGGGTTGGGGTGAGAAACATTTCTTACTGGGAGTGCTGGAAACTGGTTTTAGCTTGTGTTAGAAGGTCTGTTTGTGCTTCTGGGGAGTTGCTTTGGAGCTTAGGGCTAAGTCTGTTCGTGTGCCTCTGGGTCAAAAGTCCTGAGTCTCCCTGAAGAGATGTGTGTCCCATGGTGGAGCATGTGCATCTATGTTTGTGCCAATGTGAACCCCAAACCGTGTCTTTGTGACAACGTGTGTGAGACTGTGTGTGCCTGGGAATGTGCATTTGTGTCTCGGAGATCCTGTGAGGGCAACTTGACCAAGAGGTTTTTTTTTTTTTTTTTTGTCTTTTTCGTGACCGGTAAGGGGATCACAACCCTTGGTGTGGTGTCGCCCGCACCGCGCTCAGACAGTGAGCACACCACACTGGCCATCCCTATATAGGATCCGAACCCGCGGTGGGAGCATCGCTGCGCTCCCAGAGCTGCACTCTCCCGAGTGCGCCACGCGGTTGCCCAATCAAGAGTTTTTTTGTTTTTTTTTTTAAAAAGATGACCAGTAAGGGGATCTTAACCCTTGACTTGGTGGTGTCAGCACAAACCCGCGGTGGGAGCATCGCTGCGCTCCCAGAGCTGCACTCTCCCGAGTGCGCCACGCGGTCGCCCAATCAAGAGTTTTTTTGTTTTTTTTTTTAAAAAGATGACCAGTAAGGGGATCTTAACCCTTGACTTGGTGTTGTCAGCACCACGCTCACCCAATGAGCACACTGGCCATCCCTATATAGGGATCCAAATGCACGGCCTTGGTGTTATCAGCACCACACTCTCCTGAGTGAGCCACGGGCCAGTCCAAATTATTATTATTTTTTTTTTCTGACCGGTAAGGGGATCGCAACCCTCAGTGTGGTGTTGTCCACACCACGCTCAGCTAGTGAGTGCACCGGCCATCCCTATATAGGATCCAAACCTGCAGCCTCGGGTGATCATGGGTGGGTCTGTGGCTGCCTTTGGGGGGAGTCAGGGAGGGGGATGTCTTTGCACAGTGCTGAGTCTTTCTCCGGGGGTGGGGTGGTGGTGAATCTGTGTGCGCCCTCTCCAGGCTCCTGAGTGTATGTGCTTTGCTGGGTGTACATGTATTGCTGGAGGGCTGAATTCTGAAGCTTTCTGAGCCTAGAGGTGTACTTCTGGCAATGGACATCCTTGGGGTTTCTCTTGACGGTGTGCCTGTGTTGCAGGGGGTATGCATGTTCCTTAAGTGTGACCGTGTCTGTGTTCTGCGGGCCCTACACCTTGGCGGTACCCACTGACTGAGCATGGGCAGGGAGATCAGTTTCTCAGGTGTGTATCTGGGGTAGAGGCTTAGGGGTGTATACCCAGTTTGGTGTCTTGCAGGGGGCAGGGTGGAGCTGCCTCTTCTGGGTGTGCCTCTGAGGGCAGGGACTGTGTCTCATTCAACATTCTATTCCCAATGTCAAGGAGAATGCCTAGCAAAGAGGAAACCTCAACAAATATTTGTCAGATGACGATTTGTTGAATGAGTCTCCATAATGGGGTTTCTGGAGAGTTTCGGAGGGTGTGCTCCTCCCAGAATGTCTTTGAGTTTCTTTCTGAGTATCTGTGTATAAGTGGTGACATCTCTGCGTGTGGAATTGCTGCTGTCCAAGATTCTTTTTGCTTCCAGTGGGTCTGTGTGACAGTGTCTCCTTCTGGGTGTGCGTGTCAGGCAGGCTGAGGCAGGGCCAGTTGTCTCTCTGGCTTTGTCGTTTGTGACAGTGTTTCTCAGTAGATACATCCTATCTCCCTGGTGCGTGTCTGAATTCCTGAAGGGGGGTCTGTTTTCCTTTGGGTGGCCCTGCAAGTGTGTACACGTGTATGTTATAAGAGTATGTTTCCTTCTGTCTCTGTATTTGTCTGCACAGTAGGGACAGCCTGTCTGTGATTGTCTCTACATCTCTGGTGTGATTCTGTGACGTTGTGTGTTTTCACAGCCTGCTGCACAGATGGTCGCACTGGGAGGGTCTTTCTAAGAATGGCTCTTTCCAGGTAGGTATGTCGTCACATGGGCTCTGGCTAGGTGTCATTGGCCTTTGTACAGTCTGGTTTGGCCACTGCTCTCCAGGGTGTGTATCTTGGAGACAACGGGTTTGAGTGTGTGGGGTTACGTTCCGGGTAAGTGTCTGTTTGGATTCTGATGCTTCTCTGAGACAGAATTTCCCAGCACAGGGTGTGTCTCTGTGGATGCAGGTCCTGCTGGCTGCAGTTCTGACATGAGGGGACTTGGGTCCCAGCTCTGGGGTCCGTGTGTCTTTGTAACAGCCCTGACTTCCTCTAGGTGTGTGGCTCTGCAGTTGTGATTTCAATCCTGTTTCCATCACGGGCTGGTTCAGCTTCATGCTCTTCCTCTTTGGCTATGTCTTGGGGGCTGTCTGTGTTTCTGAGCTTCCTAAAGGACCTTCCCAGACCTCTACATTCTAGGAAACCCCCGGCACAGGCCTCAACCTCCTGATGCCTCTGCCCATGCCTACCCTGTCACCCCACATCCAGATCCCACCCTGAGGGCAAGAGGGAAAGACCAAACAGTCTTCACATCCCTTCAGCAAAGCAGGTCTGAGTCCCTCTCCAGATCGGCAGCACAGCATCCCCCAGTGTAGCCCCAAAAGCCAGAAGGGAGGAACAATTGGGGAACAGACCAGGGTCTTCACACATGGTTCCCCAAACCAGCTTACCTCGGACCAAGACGAGTTGCTCAGCACGGCCCGTGCCCACGGCATTGGTAACCGTGCAGATAAAGGTGGTGTTGACCAGTCTGTCCACTGAGAGGATGCTCAGTTGCGAGCCTTGGGCTACTGCTGAGTCTGGGAAGACCCCTGAAGTCCTGGAAGGGTGTGGGGGTTAGGTGAGGAGATACCAGGGTGGACAGGAAAGCACAAGCCTGGTCCTTGAAGACACACCCCTCAGGAGCTGCTGTGGATCGATGTCCCCTCAGAACTCAGCCCCCACTGTGACAGTGTAAAGAGGGTGGGAAATCCTACTATGGTAATTGAAAGGTGGGGGCTTGAAGAGGTGATTGGATTGTAGGACCGTGCAGTAGTGAATGGATTCATAATGGTGGTCAGGGGCGTGGTTCTGAGGGCTTTAAAAGGAGAGCACATGAGAGTCTCTCTGTTCCACCATTCTCCCCATGTAACACCCTGCATTCCTGTAGGGTCACCTCACCAGATGTGTCCCCTGGACTTTGGACATTCCCAGCCTCAGAAACTATAAGCAATTAATTACAGAAAATTGGTATGAGAGAAGTGGGGTGTTGCTTATAACAAATACTTGAAAGTTTGGAAGCAGCTTTGGAACTGGGTGTTGAGGAAAGGCTGGAAGAATTTGAAGGAGCAAGCTAGAAAAAGCCTAGCTACTGGTGGGAGTTTAGAAGACAAGAAAACAAGGGAAAGTTGGGAACGTCTTAGAGATGGGTAAAATGGTGGTGAGCAGGATGCTGATAGAAATATGGACAGTAAAGGCCATGCTGAGAAGATCTCAGATGTAATGAGAAGGGACTTACTGGAAACTGGGGCAAAAATCACCCTTACTATGAACTGGCAAGGAATCTGGCTGCATTCTGTTCATGCCCAAAAGTATTATGGAATGTGGGGTTTCAAGGTTCTGACCCAGGGTATTTGGCAGAAGAATTTTCTTTTCTTTTCTATTCTTTTTTAAAAATCCCTATATAAAGATGACCGGTAAGGGGATCTTAACCCTTGACTTGGTGTTGTCAGCACCACGCTCTCCCAAGTGAGCAACCGGCCATCCCTATATAGGATCCGAACCCGTGGCCTTGGTGTTATCAGCACCGCACTCTCCCGAGTGAGCCACAGGCTGGCCTTTGGCAGAAGAAATTTCTAAGCAGCAAAACATTTAGAAAGTTGCATGGTTACTTGCAACAGTCTATTCTGAGTTATGGCAGAAATGGCATGATATAAAGCCGGAATTTAGGGCCGGCCCGTGGCTCACTTGGGAGAGTGCAGTGCTCACAACACCAAGTCAAGGGTTAAGATCCCCTTACTGGTCATCTTTAAAAAAAAAAAAGCCGGAAAAGCAGAGCAGAGCATAAAGATTTGGAAAATTTGCAGCCTGGCCATGTGGTAGAGA